TATATAAGTTTGAAAATGTCCTTATAGGACGAAACTGCAGTAACGTTAGTTACAAATAAAAGTGGTAAAAAACATAGAAAGTTTCAATTCTCTTTTCTTCATTATGATCTCCTGCCACATAGTAACAGCTACGCCCATCAATTTATCTAAAGTACTGTTATTAGATATGTTGTCATATATGAAGATTTTTTGCGTAAAATAACCCGCAAAATTAAATTTTTATATATATACATATTGCTTAAGAAATATAAATAATTCTGTTTCTGATTTCAAATGATGAACATTTTTTTTAAATCATCAAAAATCGGAGCTTTTTTCGAGGGCAGGATTTCCCAATAAAAAATATCACATGAATACAATACCTGAATGAGAGAGGAGAGTTCAATTTTTTGTTTAGCTTCAGGATGGAGATCACTCAAAATCAAACTAAGGGCTGATGCTTCCGGTACTGTTCTGAAAGCTCTTAAAAAGTTACCAGGCTGACAAGGCTGATTTGGAGATGAAGTGTAGAGCATATGAAAGAGGAAACCCAATTCACATGATAGACAAAATTCCTTAGAACACAGATGAGACAACAGGGCAGCTCTCAGAGGTTCGGTGTAGTAAAGTACCTGAAAAAATAGTAAAAACCTTATCATTATACATGAAGAACGGTACTAAACAGAAAGATTTTACAGGTAGAGTTTGGAATAAAAAATGATTCTTGTAAGAGAAATTTCATATCAATACTCTTCAATTCATTATGTAAGGTGTTTCCTGTGAATGATATCAATTTCAGTTTCCATTATGAATGAATGACTAATAAAAAGTGATTATGTTAATTCAATATTCGTCGAGAGAAGTAGACTTTAAAGATGCTTTTTCTTATGGTTTGTTTATGAAAAGAATATCTGTCATACAACTACTTTCACATGAACATTAAAGTATACGACAGGAAAAAGTCCTTTCTAAAAACAACTTTCATATAAACATTGAATTGCATGAAAACCACTTTTACAGTATCAATGTGTATACATATTATCATCGCGACAAGAGTAGAGTTGTCTCTTTCAGTAACATAAACCCGTAATGTTATGAAAGAAATGGGTACAACATTGAGGATTATAGTGCTCAATGTAAGTGATATTTTATATCAATACTCTTTAATTCGTGTAGCTTTCATGTAATTCAACATTCAAATGAAAGTAGTTGTTTTGAAAAGTTTTTTTTTCAGCTTGTATCTGAAAGAAACTTTTATGTATGATCTACATAACTTCGTATAGAGTCTTTATTGCAATTACTTTCTTTGTTCCTTTTTCACATTTTTTATTTGATTATGGAGAAAGTCAAATCATTCATAAAAACGCTACATAAATGAAATAGTATTGATGTGATATTTCATTACACGAAACACTATAATCCTCAATAGTGTACTTCGCATAGGACACTTGCCATATCTCCTCACCAGCACCGTTTTGAACAATATCGTGTAATTCAATGTTTATATGAAAGTAGTTGCATCTGTAGAGTAGGGAGGGTGAGTGTAGGTCAACAGCACTTAGGCCACATGTGACCCATGGAACATCCTCCCGAGGAGTTGTCCTCTTAGGTCATCATCAATACTGTCCTTTCCAGGAAGGTGGACCAAGGTGTCAGCCAAGACTCGCCGAACACATAATCTCTTATTGACTATAACTTCGGACATTCGCATAGGACATGCCTGATGATTTCATCTTCCTGTTCACACATCCTGCATAGAGGTTGTTCCACTAGCCCCATATTATGGAGGTGTTTCCTTAGTTGACAGTGGCCAGTCAGACATGAAAGTAGTTGTTTCAAAACAACCGTATCCTTTAGTGTAATTCAACGTTCATGTGAAAGTAGTTGTTTCGAAATANTGGACAGTTTACTGGCCAGTATGAAATTCACTTCTTTACATGATCTACACATCTTTGTAAAGGGATTTATTTGTAGTTTTCTTTCCTACTTTCTTTGGAAGTTGGAAAATAATAATATTGATGATAGTTCAAATCAAACTAAGTATATATGTACTGTAAAGTTTACGAATGGTCATATGAAAGTATCATTTTTCTCAGAACCAAAAAACTATAACAGTTGCTTTTAAGACTAAATAATCTCAAGTTATATTTCCCCAACTTCAAATGATGTCTGGATCTACTTTTCTGTATCCCGTTAGGTAAGCACATAAACATTCATTCTCATTATTTACCAAAAATATGTTGTGCACATGTTGTTAAAAATTATTATTTTGGATACTTTCATTCGAGTATGAAGTATGGTATTATTAATACATATGCTCGTTATCAGTATTTTTGGATCCCTAGAATCTTGCAGATAACAATTCAAGTATCAATCAACTCTACTAATCTTAAAATTGCATTTCAAGATTAGGCTCGGTTTAATGAGAAATGAATTTTAGGATAATTTTTCAGTTTTTGAAAAACAAGTTGGGCTCGACAGTGAAGCAAAAATTATTTTCTTTAATGTAGACTTTATAATTATGATATTTCGAAATATTACTGAAAAAAGTCGTTCGTTTCGAGGAATTATTACTCTATGCAATATTTCAGGAAGATTTAACTGATTTGAACAGAAATCTTTTGTTTGAGGTTATACATAATAAATTATGTTTACTCACAAATTCATCTCA